GGGCAAAGATACCGCGGTACAATACAAAGCGGTACACGTCTGCGCGTTGCTTCAAGAGCCCAATAAACTCTGCTCCTTGGCAATAAATTAGGAATATCGCAAACAGCTGCTCCAGAAAAAGCTGGTGATTATCTGTCAACGCATATTGATCGCATAGTGATCGATTTCAAGCCCCAGAAAGTTTTTAACTGAGAAGTTATCGGAGTTATTGACAGTTTTCCAATTAAGGCACATCGCAGACCTCGTATACACTTTCCAAACAACTATAGCATGTCCCGGAAGGTAGAGGGAGGGGTGGTGCATAAATCCCCAAGTGAAAAACTGTTGTCGGTTTGACCAGGAGGCTTGAAATAGGTCCTGATTTCCTGTGGAACCAATAAATGCTTCCCTTTCTCTCTCTTTCTAGGTACTCCAGTGAACACACTGCCACCGTCTCTTGAAGGTGATCTCGGCTAATGCCACGATCAACCGTAATCGATTTGTACACGTGATTATGGATAGCCGGAAACACTGCTCCCAATTCCACGATTCAGACGCCTCACAGCATACATGTGCACTAAAGTTGCACACAAAGTATTACATGACGCAAGTATTCGTCACAATACGAAAAAAATTTCATAGTGTGCACGTTTCCATTTTGTTGGAAGGAAAACGTCTGAAGGAGCACAGACCCTGGCGTATAACTACAAGAACATGATGAACGAAGCCTGTAGTAAATGTTCCACAGTAAGTTCATTATGCGCTCGATGTTGAGCAGGGGCCATAACGGTCAGATTTACTGCACACTCACTTAAGGCAGAGTGGTTTTGATCAGCGTGCCATCATTATCACCTGTAACGAATGATTAGAAAGACTGAATGTGAATCGTTTAAAGAAAACAAAGATAGAGGAGAAGATGTTCGCGAAACTTGCTAATAAGTAACATATATCGTTTTCTCAGCGTTCTCGCCCGCCTGCCACTCGTGATAGTGATCGACGCGATAAAGAGAGGATCGCACAACCGAAGGCCATTCTAGACGGCACTTGCGAAAGAGATCTACGAATAAGTGCCCTAGGCTGAGTAGCAGAACCGTCTCGAGGACGACCGCGATTTCTTAGCGAAGAAGCGGCGCCACTCTCCGTCATGTTTACGCCGCACTTTGTGTTGCAAAATGGCGGTGGGTGGGATGAGCACACCTGGCGTGACCGAGTGAGCGACAAACTCGCGCCAGGAGGGTATACAACGTAGGACGCGTCGTCTCACGAAGTAATGAGGACACATTCTCCGCACGTCGTTCGTGGAGGCTGCGGACAGTCAAAAGCGCCGACGCACAAATACCGCTATGCTTGCCGCCGCCGTGCATGCCGAGCTTGACGTACGCCGACAAACGTCCCACAGGTGCGGAGGTCGCTGTTCCGCTGATTCACTATATAGATATAGCACATCTCGAATACGAGTATATTTTGATAATGTTTTTTTCTATTGAAGCTATAAATTCCTTATATAAACGAGCACGTTCAGCGTAGCGTTGAAAAAAATGTGTGGGGGAGGGGGGGGGGCAGAAAGGACACTAGTGTACGTTGAAGGCACGTTGTATGACACTCACGCGCGCGCGCGTGTGTGTGACAACGTGGCTTTAACGTACACATGCATTCTTTCTGTTTTTTTTTTCTCATGTGTGTGTGTGTGGGGGGGGGGGGGTTGAATTTTCGATATAAAGCCAGGCACAAAGAAGGACTTGAATGTAAGAAGGCACGATGTTCGTGACATGGCATGGTGGCCGGACAAGGTGTCTGAAAAGTATACATGTTCTTGCCATTTCGCGACGGACGGATGCTGTCGTGTGCAAGCCCCCTTGACTAAATAGGTAGCATGCCCGGGGCTACAACCGTGGGACTGGCGAATACTACTGGGAAGCGTTATGCCAGAAATGCTAAAGGCGCTCCACTACGAAGCACAATGACAGATCCAGTCAGCGCGGGCAGCGGTTTCGAAAGTTGAGTCAGATCCTGCTACATATGATTTTTGTTCTGCCTTGCGGTTCCATGGTGTCGGTTAAAAAAGCACATTTTCAAGTGCAACTCGAACTGCACGCCCACGATTTCCCGAGTTATTTTTCAGCTCCATCTATTACGAACATAGATCCGCATCTACATGCGCGCCTTCGTGCAGCTGCTGACCTGAAATGAAACACGAAATAGGTGCTTTGCGAAGGATTCCCCTCTTCCTGTGAACAAAGCTTTGCAGCTGAACCCCGGGTCGGATTCCCAGTCGAGACTGTCGCATATAAGGCCCGTAGCTCAGCAAAACCCTTCTCGTTTATTACTCTTTTTCGAAGTTCGGCAGTGCGGAACGAGAGAATAAATTGTCCCTAGCGCGGCAGCAGAATTCTCAAAACTGCGCTGCTGCTTCGGCCCACCACTAGTGGGGAGAGGGAGAAAAGCTGACGGGAGTGCCGGCCGGTATCGCCAGTCGGAGGCCCCCGTTTCGACGTCACGGCGGCCCTGATTAAAGGGGCCCAGCCGCGTTGGCTGTTTTTCTGCTTTCCCTCTCCTCGCATCGTAGAAGCCGCTGCGGCACGTGCAGCGCCGCGCGATGCTCGACCAGTCACACGCAATCGGCCGCTTCGGAAGCTTTCATCTGCGATGTCGCCGTTCTCGCGTGCCCTGGCCTGGATAGCCGCACAAAAGGTTCGCAACGAATGGCAAGCGACTCCTTTACTGCAGGCACATTTAACGCGTTCCAACTTTACGTTCTTCGAGAATAATGAACGTTTTCGTTGAATCATTAGAGGTGGGATGTTTAACGCGAACTTCAGACTCAGTAGCCAGGATAGCCGCTCGTAGCTGTTATTTTTTAAACACTTATATACATATATCCGGCTCTAAATATTGCATTTAACAAGCTCCCTGCGCTTTCGTCAAGCTCGCTAAGCGTTGAGACGAGTGTCAATCTATTTTTTTTTTCTTCTAATGTAATGCCAATAATTTCACATTACGTGTACAACCATGTCTCTAAAAAAAAACTGTCAGTGACCGATGGGTTTTGCACACAGTTGACTTTAAACAAGTTTGCTAAATCATGCTAACCTAATTCTGATAAGCATCAACGATGCTGATTCACGATGCCTTATATATACGGTGACGTGCTCATACACATAACCCGATCAACACAGCGCAAATTCTGGTCCACTGTTTGTTGACAAAAAAAATGGGACACAGACCTCGTCGAGCCGTAATGTGGCTTTTTGTCTGTGTTCCTGTTATCTGTACCATGTATAGATAAGAAAATAAAAGTTCAGTTCATGTTTTTTTTTTCTCAAGTCGATATGGGAAGTCACACAACCAGTATGAATGTTGAGCTTGTTTTGCGCGAAGCTCCCGTAAAAATAAAAGACTCGCATGCAGTGCGACAAGGCTATTAAATAATGTAGTTTTAGAACAACACGTCCAAGGCTTTGCGTACGCAATCGCTAAAGCATATCGCCAACGCGCACGTCTGATGGGTACGCACGCTTCCTTCGAAAAATAGCGTGCGCGCCCAAGAAACTCAAGGCATTGTTACCCACTCTATAAAACTTTCGGAAGACTGCTCAGATGAACCCTCTGCAAAAATTTTGCACAGTACGCTTTCATACTATGAGTAATCACGAGAACACGGAAGTTACCAGGTCTCTTTAACTGAATTGAAGAAATGCTGAACTAAAAGGAAATGTGCTCGAGAAAAAAAAAATGCCGCCGGTGGAAGCTCCGCTCCCACTTTCTTCATTACAGATGCATTGCGCTACCAGATGCGATACAGCGCTACAAATCTTTACTTTCTACCACAGGTTTCCTTTGAACCAGATATATAGTATCTACGCTTCACTTCGCCCCCATCGGGCTGCATGGCAGTGACACGCATCATCTAAGTTCACAGTTATAAGCACCTATATTAGCGACAACGCAGCAGCTAAAGGTGTACGCAGGTTGCGAACATGAAAGCACGGGAGAACGCAGCCAGAAAGAATACCCTGCGGAAGACATCAAACAGTTACAAAACAGGCACCTAAAAGCGGGCTCCTAAATTGAACGACCGCCAACACACACAGGCAGACCAGAAAATAAATATTAAACTAAAATGAAGCTGGCATGAAGCGTCTCGAAGGAGGCGGCCTCCCCATTGAAGGGCGCTTCCCTGGCGCAAGCAAACAGGGCCAACTGAAGAGAGCACGCCGCCTGCCAGGGTGACGACACAAGATGTATCGATGCGCTCGGAATCCACGGCGCCCTCCGCGACCCTTCTGCTTTCGCCGTTGGTGATGGATGGCACCAACTTAGTGGAATCGCAGCTCGGGAATCTGTGAGGTTCTGTTAAATGATCTCCCGCCTAAACGACGGCAGGCCGCTCATTATGCCCAGAGATGCCGAACACTAGCCTTGTTTGCCCCGCACCTGCGGCTCGTGCGAGGAAAGTAAGGTGGCTCATCTTTCATTCAACTGTCCAGGTCAGAGCTGTTCGTAAAACCCGCGCGGTAAGAGATTACGTTAAAACACTTCGCAGTGGATTTCCGCGGACTGCAACGGACGGGTGTCGTCTCTCGTTTATAGCGCACTGCCCTCTTGATCGCTTGGGTTTCAAGTTTCGCAAAGCGCACACATAAACACCGCGCGTTGAGTATACACACGCTGTCGAACTTCGTGCCGTTCTCAGCGATTCGTGCAATGGCTTGGGCGCTTCATCGGCTCACCTGCATCTATACCAAAAGTGTCCCTTTTCCCCGACAGAAAACATATGCACGGTGCGGCAATCTACCGTTACATCAGTGCAGTGACGCATGCAGATTATTCATAATGCAGCGCGGTCGTGACCGTGGACGGCTGCGCACCAAGGAAGCGAGCGAAGTTCCATCACGGCGCGGCGGCCAGATGAAAAGAGCAACGGCGGCGTCCCTGTGAGAGCAACAGCGCGCACCGCGGTAGCGTATTGCCGCCGCGGCACTCATCTGCAACAAAACTAGCAAGCGGTTCAATACACTCACCGTGCTTGCTCTGCATCTTGCCCATGGTGCCGCGTTGGGAAAAAGCGCCGGAGCATCACAGCCAAGCCCCGAACGTCGACAGTGCCGGCAAGCGAGAAGACATGGTCGCCCGCAGAACTGGCCTGCTGTAGTACACTTTTCTTTCTTTTCCGCAAGGCACTCAATGAAGGAGCCACCGCTTGCCGCCGCTCTCGTCCCCCTTCCCTCGGCTGGTGAGGCCGCAAGGCGAAAGCCTCGCCAGCCAATGGGCGCAGGGACGGCACACTCCATCCTCCGAGGTAGGGCCGCCGTCCGGTGGTGTGCAAGCGAGCAGCAGCCGCGGCCGCTGTCGCCCTCGGCTTGAACCGCGCCCACTCGACTGCTGCTGTGGTGGTGCCTACGCTTTGACTGCTGCCGCTCACTTCCTTCTCGGTCGCGAGTTTTCGCAACAGCGTCATTAGTAGCGAAACGCTTGGGGCTGTGGAAGTTTCAACGCGAGGGGAAGCCCGAAGGCATCAGCGTTTCACGTGCCTTACAGCCTTCCACTTCTAAGGTCAGAGAGGCGGAAGGCCGTAAGGCTCATCTTATACCAGTTCAATTTTTCTCGCCACTGAACGAACTGTAACTACGGTGAGATGTGATCGACTCTGTGGGCGCATAATTATTATACCAAGAAAATTAAAATAATGTCTGGAGCTGATGCGAAAAAAAGAAAACAGTGCAGGAACTAAACGTTGTATATAGCATAGACTTTGTAATGCCTGCATCGTTTTATTTCCATGTCCACTGTTCTCCCCCCCCCCCCCCCCCCCCCATTTTTTTTTGCTGAACTACTTCACAGTGATGCACCAGCTGGCCCCACAGTCAACGCTTCTCAAGACGATAATGGCTTAACCAGCGCTAACTGATCTGACCGAATACACTTCCACAATGTATCTTGCACACATCTTATAAAACAGTTGCCTTACGAACGGGCGCCGTGACATCAACTAACCATTTGTAGTCGGTAGAATGTCTCTTTGAGTAGCGTGTTACGGCAATTAAAGCTCCACAAAACTGTTGAACGATTGCTGCGTAGCATAAACTGTCTATCAACTAGAAATTCGCACAAACATCAGTATGGGATCACATACTACAGCTCCAGTGGTGTGTGACGAGCAACTTTTAGTCTTTAAATAGTGCACTATCTTTATTGCACTCTATTTGTCTTTGTCCTATTCGAAGCCCTATTGTTTACTTCTTTGAGAAGGCAATCGTGGAAATTACGCGTAAAAAGATTTATGGGCCGGCAGCTCCTAATTTCGATGGAAATGTTGCCGGACCCAACTCCACAGCATTGCCTTATAAGACAAAACAATGTCCATAACTCTACTGGTGAATAAGCTGTACACTGCAATTCTTGGATGTGGAATTTCGCGTTCTTCAACGTTACAGTTAAAACCACCTGTGGAAGCGGCACTCGTTATGAGTAGCACACGCATGCTGATAGAGAACACGGAAGTGCATGCACCTCAGACAAGTTAAGGAAACCCGATCACAACATGACCCCTTTTCTTTTTCTTGACGCACAAAGCTCGAAAATGTTTATTAGTAGGCCGTGCCACATCCAACCTCCTAAACAACTGCGAGCTAAGTTATTTACCGATATGAAGAGTTGGATTAAAAATAACAAGCTTGTAGCCAACTCAGTAGTCATCAACGCGGCATCATGAAAAATAGTATTGTAATATAATAGATGTGATGAGAACAGCAAAGGCCCCTTTGAAACTTTCCAATTTTGCTTGCGTATATAATACAAAAATGGTTGTGTAAAATTTTTAACAAATTTATTTATTTATTTACTTACACATACTGCAGCGCTGATGGCGCTATGGCAGGAGTGGGTATACAAAGATACACAAAGATATAAATAAAAACTATGAGCACAAACAGGCAACGTATTAACATCATGTGAACATTAAGGCAAAAATATCAGAACATGGAAAAAAGGAACAAAGAAATAGCATTTGCACACAGATCAGCTTATTTCACAGATAAATGTTATGGATTTCGGCTACAATACTCTGCGATGGGCATGAAAGAAGAGAATCAGGTAATGGATTACAGTCTTCAATGGAACGGGGAAAAAACTGAACTTGGAACATATTAGTTCGAGCGTAGTGAGGCCTCAAATTTAGGTTGTGATAGCATCTCGTCGTTGACTGTGGGGCGAAGTTTATGTATTTGTTCTTGTTTGACAGTTTAACTGTGGAGGAAACGTTGCTTTGCAAGAATTTTAATGACCTTTAGTGACTTTTAATTAATTCCTTTCAAATTGATATTTAAATCGATGAACTGACACTCTCGATGGGTGTTTTACAAAGGTAATCAAATTGCTTGAGAATGATTGTTTGTATAGGAATGGACGCTTGAACGAGTTGGTGTGGGTTCATCTTGGTTGGTCCAGTGCACACGAGAGGAAGACAAAGAATAATAAAAAAACACGGGCTAATATTATAGCATTAGAGAGGAAATTCAAAACATATACTTCAAATTTGTTTGATACGACGGTAATTTATATGCAGGATATAAATTATTGTCACGGACGGCCATTTTTGGCGACACCGCGTCACGGCAATTAACGCGCGCCGTACTCCCCGACTGACCGTGAGAAACGGCGGCGCATGAAAGGGAGCCGAGAAGTGCAAAAAGGGGGTGCTCTTCTTAGAACGTCGCCGCCGACGGTTAATCCTTTTGTAACTGTGGCGGCGTCTGCAAGGTCGTAGAAGGCCGCGGTATACCCCGAACAAGGATTAGACTACGAGACACACCGGCTGAGAGCCAAACGTTTGACCGTTCCCACGGGGAAAAGCGTGGGAAACGCTCTGGTGGCCAAGCCGTATGACAACAACCCGACAGGTTGTCACTCTCGCTATAGCTCACGCAATTAAAAGCTTAATTCTTTTAGTTTCATTAAGGTAATTACAAACTGCATCAAAAACGTTTTTGGGGCTGAAGCCCAGATACGAAGCACCGAAGGAAAGTATATTCTCTATTGTGAAGTTCAGCCCCAGGCTGGCAAATGGGATTACTAAATGTCTTTTTCTTAGCAATCTGTATCGACGACATGACAAAAAATAGCGCTCTATTGTTTCTGATTATACATAAAACGGTTGCATTGCGGTGATATCGCCAAACCAGCCTTTTCTCAATAGAAATTTAACGGGGGGACAAGACATCGAAATCTGGTTATTATGACTTCCAACTGTCTCAGTGTAGGACACCAATGGATTTTCCACGTAAACCTTAAGGGAGTAAACTCTGGTGTTGACGTTATTGCTTCCATAGCGTCTGCACGAAGCGAAAGTTTTCTGTATCTTGTCGCAGTTATTGTGGCCACAACGGGAAGGACCGGTAGTATTGGACCATTCAATGTCGCTCGTGCTAGAGAGTCAGTGATTCTTCTAATCCGCAATGGGCACCTGTGTTTCTTATTCTTCGTCGTTGTCTAGTGTACCCTGTATCAACCAAGATGAACACATCGTTTGTTTGACCTCAACCGAATTCTTTCTATCAAATACGCTAGAGATTACATGTGCACATTGGCACCTTAGTGGGAAAAAAAATTCGCCCAGTGAACACAGGTGAACTGTGTCGCCTATGGGTGATGTCACAGATTGAAGGATCTGTGGTCATCATCCCTGGTCGATTCGGTAGCAGGCCGTATTTCCTCCAAGCCTGCCTACTGGAGTGCACAGAAACCGGAGGCGTTTTCGACGACCCCACAGCTTGAAATAATAATAATAATAATAATAATAATAATAATAATAATAATAATAATAATAATAATAATAATAATAATATGATTTGCATAAACAGAAACAAAGAGGGGGAGAAGACGCACCGAAAACATTCAGCGTGGTCAAGGGTGAGGAAATCCCGCGAAAGGCAAAGCAGAAGCGAGGAAGTAAATAAGACGCTCGACCTGCATGTACGTTCGCCCAGTGCTCGAATTCGGGTGCACCTTATCGCTGGAGCTCCTACGTGTAAGCTTCAGCCTCTTACAGTACTCGAGAGACAAGCTTTAAGATATATGCTTAGGTCTTCCGCACTTTGTGACAACCGGGATCTTGTATATGGAAGCTGGGCTCTCTTCAATCGGTTTAAATTGTTAGCAATAGTCATTCCTGAGGCTGTACAAATCCCCCGCAGGCGTTAGAAGCATACACGCCAAAATGCAATAATAACGCAATATAGCAAGTAAGCCCCTATACTTTGCCGACGGCTAACCAGTGCACGATAAAAGAAAGGTGGGCGAGTGGAACTTAATGCAGTAATGTGCGACTGTGAGCTGAGAGAACCGGGCAAGTGCATTTCTGCCTTGCCGGGGTGGGACCACCTGCTATTCGCGCTAGAAGCCTTGGGGACGACATGGAGGGGAGACCAGGGCGAGTGCATTTCTGGCTAGACAGGGCCACAGACGGCTTTGGGATCGTTTTAGCAGCGTACAAATATGCAATGAGAAAGATTAGATGCTCCACTTCTGCGTCTCGGCATCGCCGCCTCTCACTCGTGTGCACCGGCCAAGGTGGGCGTTGTAGATTAATCGGCATGTCTTAATATATTAATTTGTTTAACTGAAAGCCAGAAATCGATTATCATTACTCGATTGATTGCGCACCTTTGATCGATTAATCAATCATTCATCTATTTATTTTACCATTTCTAATATAATACACGTGCACATACAAACGCACACACGAACATGCATAAGGTATGGTTGAACCCTCTCCCGAAATACGTTTCTGGCTACGCCTCTGGTAGCTATAAATCCCAAAATGTTCGGTTACTATTCTGACTCTGTGGACTCGGCGAAAGAAAGCAGGTGGTTGTCTTGCCCGTGGAAAGAACGTCTGTGCGTGGTGACTTCTGGAGTCTCAAGGAGGTCGAGAATGGATAAATGAAGGGTAGCGAGGTTAATAAGGACTGAGCATGGTTTGCCTGCTCTGTACTCCGACAGGGTGCTATGCTAACGCACGTCACGACGTAATGGACATATGTGGAAATCTGTCATTAGAGTAGCGCAGAAACAGCTCAGCGCGAGGTCCCGGCTCGCATACGTGCAATATAAACGATGCTTGTCGGGTGATATCATTGCCTCGCTTTTGCCGCTATCTTTATGACAACAAAATAAGCTCGCGGGGGCAAGTACAGACGTCGAGGCAAACTGCTGGG